TAAGGAGCTAGGGTGGGGACTGAGAAAAAAAGATATTTACATATGGAATGGAGGCCAAGCATAATATTCTGTATTTGTAATGCTATAGAGGCTCATCAGAGAATGCTCACACACTGCTGGAGATGGTCAGAGACTGCTGACATGCTGCAGATATAGTTGAAGGCTGGAGATGTGCTGTGATGCAATACTGTAACGTGCAGTAGCACACTTTACCGGTGTTGATGTGCTGGGTTGTGGTGAGAATGGGTAGGAGACAGGGGATTAGTTACATAAAACCGATACAGAACACTGCCATTACAGCTCCTTTACAAATCAATGCTCCTACTACGAGGAAGAAGAAGTCTTGAGCATCCCAATCTGCAGGTGAATAGACAGCATAAAGGCGTGCTAAAGCACAGCATACTTAGATGAAAAGTGTCTTACGATAAGGTATTTATGACGATGAAACAGTCTGCCCTTGTAATTACATCAAATGTCAAGTATATAATTAATGTTTATGGCTTATGCAGCACTGCCTATCAGGTGTATTTATAGACATAAACAGGAAATGGACTGCAGTCACTTGCTGAAACAGCTGATTGATTTTGAAAAATACTGGTTGCGTTATAGCACACTTTTTTGTATAGTTTAAAAGCACTAAATGTACAGCAGCAGATTGCAACATATATAAAAGAAAGTGAATCTGGTCATACATTTCAGATTATGGTTGGATGAGCAGATGCAATCCTACCACTGAATGAGGCCTTATATATTGGCAAGATATAGACAAAAGTACAAATATTTATTTCACTTGCTCATTCATTTTCATATTTATGGAAGACAGAGGAGGAGAAAGTAAGGAGGAGACAAGAGCATCACTGGTTTATCTCTGATGGAACAACAATGATTGGCCATGATTTTTAAACCTGTCCAGTCCTTTGTTTATCCTGGAGAATGGGTGGCCACTGTGTGAACCAACCACAATAATACTTAAAGTGACACTAAACTCGGGAGTTAAATCTCAAAGTACCTTAAGACCCCGTTCACATTGAGCGATTTATCGCGCGGTAATTCCCGCGATATCGCTGCAAATTACAGCGCGATATCGCGCTCCAATGCAATCCAATGGGGCAAAGGGTCCTGCTGTCGCGGGTCATGTGTCGCTACAGCAGGACCCTTTTTGGAGCGGATTTAGTTGCGATTCAAGCTTGCTCAATGCAAGCTTGAACGCGACATCGCGCGGCAAATCTCGCGATGTCGCGCAATTTGCAAATCGCGTGACAAACGCGCGATTTGCATATCGCGCAGTGGGAACGGGGCCTAAAGGAGAACTATGGGGTCAGTGTTTTTCCCCATAGTTCTCCTTAGGGTAATGGGAGGACACAAACTAGCGTCCTCCCGTTACCCTAAGCTCACTATACCGCGAGCTGTAGCTCGCGGTATACTGAAACACCGCAGCCGGAGCGGATCCCGACGTAGATGACGGGATCCGCCCAGCTGCGTGAGTGACAGCTGGCTCTGCCTATCTAGAGGCAGAGCCAGCTGTACCCTCCCCCGTCCGTTCCGCCAGTCAGCGCTGGCAGATCGGAGCGGGGAGAGGAGAATCCAGCCCCTCCCCCTGTCACGGCAGAGAGCCGTGACAGGATCGAGAGGTGAGCGAACCTGGTATGTGTTCGCTCACCTCCCGATCTACTGAGCCGACCTGTGACAGTCTCATTGTCACAGGTCGGCTAGAACTATGAGGTGAGTGGAAATCACTCATCTCATAGTTCTCCTTTAAGGCTGGGTTCACACTTGGGCGTTTGTAATATTCGCATTTTTACTACGATTTGCGGTCAACGAAACGCGCGACAAACACGCGTTTACGAGGGCTATCCAGCTGTATCCTAATGGATACGCGCGGAAAATACGCCCCAAAAAAGCCCCTGTACTTCTTTGGGCATAGGGCGTTTTTCAGCAAGTTCCTAAGTGCTGAAATACCCCCAGGTGGGAACCACGCCCATAGGATATAATAGGATTTCACTTGCTGGGCGTTTTACAGCGCGTTTTACAGCGCTGTAAAATGCCCAGGTGTGCTCCAGGCCTAACTATTAGCAAAAATGTATCTTATTTGTGCATCACTCAGGTGCAGATCCTCAAATCATCTCTGAATTGGTCCAGACACTGTCCTTCCTTCTGGAGGGTGGCTACTTTTGTTCTTCATGGTCCCTGTGTGTGTTGTAAAGTTGCCACTGCTCCAAGCTCACTCCCATGATCAACTACAATCTCAGTACAAATTATTAAAATAAACGTGAGATTGTAGTCCAACGCGGGAGTGAGCTTGGAGGGGTGCATAAAAAGACACTGAATACTAACCTCTTCTATTGGTTGCAAGGCTGACCTATGCAGTATTAAAAAGAAACTGCTGGTTAAAGATCCTGCAAAATCTGACTTTTCTAGAAGCGTTGATTTCCAGGTCTCTTACTTTACTTTCACCATAATGCATTGGTTTTCTTTGACAGCAGGCTAAATTTTAAAAAGAGGCACAATTTCTACAATTCATAACTCGCTTTTGCAAGGTCAAGCCTCTAACCCCATTCCGTATGTTGGATGCTGGGAAAGGGAATTTAGGACTAGTTTCGAACTGGAGACAAATTTGGCAGACCACGGCTCTCTGTTCCATAAATGCATAGGCAGTGGAGTCGCTGATACAGTATGTGGTCCCACAATGCTTGGCAAAGTTTGTACCCACATATTCATGTGTTTTGGGGACTAATAGTCCCCTGGCACTATCCTACATATATGGCAACAAATCCAATCTCCCATTGCTTAATTCATTTATTTAAATTATGAGGGCTACACTCATGTTTCTTTCCTGTTATATGACTGCTTATACTCTAATATTATGGGTTTGTTGTCAACCACCTTACTTGTCACTGGCATACGCCAGGGGTTGGATTTCTCAGTTCTACCTGCGGTGTACTGTCCAAACCCTTGCAAATGTAACGCTTTGCTTTATTTCAGAACTTTATCATAAAAATGTATTACAACAGAAAAAAAGAAACACATTCATCATCTAGAGGGGCCTTCAATGATTAATATAAAGCCCAATTAAAGTTTCACGCCTTTTTTTCTCTTCTTACTCCTGTCACACCTTATGTTATCATTTTTAGCTGATCTTACATGTCTGACCAGGGCTACTAGATGGCAGAGTGCACTGGCAAGCACAGTCAAATCCCGGTGCCTTTTGTACTGTACATATTTAGATATACAGTATATGCACTACTGTTATAACTGCAAAGTGAAGGTAAGAGTATGAAATGGAGGTTGTTAGTACAACGTCTATTTTACTGAAGATCTATTTCTATTACATCAATTTGGCTATAAATTATATGTAAACCCAATTATTAAAATCTCACATAAGCTTCATTGTGTTATTGTAATTTCAAAAGTCATTAACAAATTATTATTAAACAATTATTATTATTATTATTTTAACAGAAACTGAAGATTTAATACGATTTAAAATTTAATAACAATGTTATTAAATCTTCAGTTTCTGTTAAAATAATATCGGGTTATCCTGCTATGAAATTTCTTGTGGATATAGAGTAACAACACTTAGTTCCTGTCTCTAAGTTGTGCCCTCTACAATGTGCAGGCAAGAAACACACCCTTAGAAATGCCCTGCAGCCATTACTGAAGTGCATGCTTTTAGACAGGAATAGGCTGCAAATAGGCTGTAAGAGATCAGCAGCAATGAGATGCAACAAAAGATTGGGAAAATGCTAAAAACAGTATTTTACAGTACAATGTTTATGATACATGCTGCTTCGGCAAGTTATATGTCATTAGGTTATGCTTTACATCTACTGTAAGGCACTATTAGCAGTATTGTAAGAATCATATAAAAAAGCTGAAGTTAATCAAAACAATAGATTTTATGATTGACAGAAATAATGTACTGTTTAAAAGAGCTGATTTTTATCTAGCAATAAAACTTGACATGCTGGTCGGACACAATCTGATAATCAAAAATACTATGCTCTATACATATGTGCTTAGACATGGAAGCTCAAATATGCATGCCTATGCACTGTTTATGTATGGGCAGATTTCCCCCTAGGAAAAAACAGTGTTAGGAAAGCTGTCCATGTTTGTTCTACTTTTACCCACTTGGCTAAATTATAGATGTTATACATTGGAAGGGACAGATTCTTTTTGTAAAACGCAAGAAACAATGAGAAAAAAGATAGACTTTTTCCATACCACAGGATCATGTTATGTAATACTAATGCCCTGAGGTTATGTTTTAACTGTTTGCATCAAACACATTTTGAAATTACGTGATTACATCAATATGCACTGTTGTCTAGAGACAACTACTCAGGTTGTCCTCACATATCTCGTAGCGGGTGCCATACACACACACATACACCGGATTAAAATATTAAAAAATTGTCATTTTGAGCAATGAATACATTTCTCTGCTTATTGTTTGCTTTGTAGGCTTCATTATTGGCACAAGGTTCCCTGTAC